GCAGGGAGATGGAAAGTTTGGGAACAGCCTGGGCTATATATCAAATACCAAAAGAAGGGGGCTTTAAGCTGCTTCCACAGGTAAAAGGGGGCTTGCTGCCAAGCTCAGTCACCTGGGTTTGATCCCCAGAGCTTTCTTGTGGAAGGAGATAAATGAACACCCTCCCTGTTTGTCACCCTTCACATGTGAACATGCATGAACACCCCCTACCCATAAATATTTAAAAACTGAAAGAGAGGAGGGTGGGCTTGGCTAACCTCATTAGTAGCATCCTTCTGAGGAACTATCTCCAGGCAGAAGCGCCCAATGAATGAGCCAGGGCCAGGGGCTTAGCTGGAATTCTGGGCCGGGGTGCCTGTGTCCTGGTGCCCTTCGTCCTGCCCAGGGACCGCATTTTTGCCGGGGAGTTGGGCTTTCCATTGTTCCACTTGGCACCGTCCCCTCTCTAGGACACCACCAATTCACTGGGTCAGCATCCTGGGCCTCGTTTCCTCTGCTGGAGCTGTGGCCGGTCACCCCCAGGCAGCTGAAATGGAAACCCTGAAACAGAGCTCCAGTTTCTTTCCAGGAAATAGCAGTTGAGGGCAGCACAGTGGGGCCTGATGCTCCAGTTGGACCTGAGTTCCCAGACAGCGCTCCTCAGCACGGAGCCATGGGAGAGTTGGGACATGGCACTTGGCGGCTGTGTCGAGTACCTGGGCTACTCCTGGGGTTACATCTTCCTAACTCAGACATCACACCCCACACCCTGCCAGGACAGCCATACTTAGACCCCAGCTTTGTTTGCTTCTTTTTTTTTTTTTTTTTTTTTGGTTTTTTGAGACAGGGTCTTTCGTCTTTCTGTGGCTTTGGAGCCTGTCCTGGAACTAGCTCTTGTAGACCAGGCTGGTCTCGAACTCACAGAGATCTGCCTGCCTCCGCCTCCTGAGTGCTGGAATTAAAGGCATGCACCACCACCGCCCGGCTTTTCTTTTCTTTTTTGGAGACAGGATTTTTCTGTGTAGCCCTGGCTGCCCTGGAACTCACTCTATAGACCAGGCTGGCATCAAACTCATAGAGGTCTGCCTGCCCCTGCCTTCCCAGTGTTGGAATTGAAAGTGTGCATTACTGAACTGGTTTATAATTTTATAATTGTTTTTGTAGCACAGGCTGGCTTCAAACTCACTATGTGGCTGAGGTTAACCCTGAACTTCTGACCCTCCTGCCACCCCCCCCCCCAGATTTTGGGATTACAGGTGTGCATAACCACCTGGTTTATGCAGTGCAGGGGATCAAACTCAGAGCTTCATGCACTTTACCCACCCAGCTTGGTTATTTTTTATTTTATTTTAATTTTATTATATTTTAGTGTGTGTGTGCACACGCGCTAGGCCATTTTGCCTACCTGGAACTCCAAATCTTCCTTCCTCCTCCACCTCTTTTGTGCTGGGATCACTGTGCTGACCACGCCTGCTACCTATATCCCATTGTACAGGTGATAACCCTGGGACTGTCACCTGGCTTCATGTCCCAAGGCCTTTGGAGTGAGACTGGGTTTAGGCCTCAGGCTGCACAAGACCTTACTTCATGGCCTCCACCATTGGCTGTACTGTGGCCAGAGGCCCTGTTACCATGTCACAGCTTTCCCAAGTTCCACCCTCCCCCCCACCCCCCCTACCAGTTTTCTGTCTCAGAGCAGGGCTGAGTCACTGAGGGCCAGCTCAGCCCTTTGCCTCCTCTCCTCTTCCTGCTACCAATCTCCCCTCCCCCTCCCCCTTCCGGTCCCCTCCAGTCCCCTGGCTGGGATAGTTGGGACTGGCTGAATGCCGGCTTGGTTCCTTTCTGCCAGCTCCATGCTCTCTTTTGTTAGTTGAAGCAAGCAGGCACTGTCTCTTGAGGTCAGGGTCTTGGAAATATTGTTTTAGGGCAGGGCCACCAGGCTGGGAGCTAGGGAAGATCTAGCCTGCCCTGGGGGCTGTTTCAGCCTAGCCGCTCCACTGTGACATTGATGGAAACCATGAAGTTGAGTTTATCTTTCTAGCTCCTGCCTCTGTAAATGTATTCTTTCTTTAAAAAAAAAAAAAAAGATGTATTATACTTTATTTTTGTGTGTGGCCACATGTATGTTGCAGAGTTGGTCTCTCTTGGGACCTGGGGATTGAACTGGGGTCCTCAGGCTTGGCAGCAGGCACCTTTACTGCTGAACACTCTCTAGCATCTGTTCTTTCCTTTTCTTTTCTTCTCCTTTTTTCCTTCTTCCTTCCCCCTCTTTACTAATGGCCTCCGTTTCTCTCTACCCCTCCCCTCCCTCCAGTTCCGTGTGTGTGTGTGTGTGTGTGTGTGTGTATGTGTGCGTGCCTGTGTGTGTGCCTGTGTGCCTGTGTGTGTGTGTGTATGGTCCCAGTGCACATGTAAGCACCTGTGTGTGGAGGTCAGGGATCAACTCTGAATGTCGTTTCTTCTTTGTTTCTTGAGACAGGCCTGGGATCACCAAGAAGGCTAAGTTGGCTGGCCTGGGAACCCACCTATCTCTGCCTTCCCAGGATTGGTGTTACATGCATGTATCACTGTTAGTCACTGTCCTATTGCTGTGAAGAGTCACCATGGCCAGGACGACCCTACAAAAGAAAACATTTAACTAGGGGCTTGCTAGCAGTTCCAGAGCTTTGACTTCTTATCAGCATGGTGCGTGCAGGCTTGGTACTGGAGAAGTAGCTAAGAGCAACACCCTGACCCACAGAGACAGAGAGACAACACACGCAGGGACTGGGCCTGGTGTGGGCTTTTGAAACCTCAAAGCCCGCCCCACAGTGACACGCTTCCTCTAATGAGGCCACACCTCCTTAACCCTTCTCAAGTAGTGTTATTCCCAGGAGACTAAACATTCAAATATATGATGAGCCTGTGGAGGCCATTATTATTCACACCACCACAGTCATCATGCCTGACTCTTTACTATGAGTTCTGGGGATTGAACTCGGGGCCCCAAGCACTGTACCAACTGAGCCATTTCTCCAGCCCCCTTTTCTTTTGCCGAGATAGGCTCTCACTACACAACCTAGGCTGGTCTAAAGCTCCATCCTCCTGCCTCTGCTCCTACATGCTGTGATAACAGGTGTGGCCCCTCACACCCAGCTGTTTCTGAACTTTTCTCAGCTGTAATATTCTACTTATTAAATGCCCACTATTTACTCAGCAGACTTGGGAATAGCCAGCCACATCTGTGCAAGGTGTGCTGTACAATAGATATGCATAGTAGGTGCAGTATGGCACACAGTAGTTTTGCTGGGATCATCAAGAATGGTAGGGAAATTAAGGGAGCCTCCTTTGAGAAGATGGTTGCAGGGGCCCGGGGCTTGGAAGGCCTTCATTCTTGCTGCGGGGCTGTTGGGGTGCCCTCAGGTAGGGTTTCCCGTCGTGGGATTCGGGTCTAACACTTTGACAGGTGGTTTCTCGCAGAGGAGAAACTGAGGTCTCTGATTTGAGGTTTCTCAAGGCTCCCAGGAGGTCAGAGTGCAGACAGAGAAGGGCAGCCGACTCTCCTAGGCTCACCACGTATTTCCAGGGCCAGTGGTCCCAAGAGGCTACCTGGAAGAATGCTATTGTTGGGCCAACTTTCTTCTGGGTGAGGTGCAACTTGTGGAGAAAAATTTCAAGAGCCCATTTTGAGGATGTAGTCCTGTAATTTAGTTATTCAGAGCTTGAGGCAGGAGGATAATAAGCTCAAGGCCAGCCTGAGCAACTCAGACTATCTCACATAAAAAGTGGAAAGAGGGCAAGAGCATATAGCTCAGCAATGAAACATTTTCCTACAGTCCCTCCCACACACTCCAGTGAAGAGCTGGGGTGTGACTCAGAGGAAGAGCACCTGCCTAGAATCCCCCAGTGAGGTGCTGGGGTGTGGCTCAATGGTAGAGCACCTGCCTAGAATCCCCCAGTGAGGTGCTGGGGTGTGACTCAGTGGTAGAGCACCTGCCTAGAATCCTCCAGGGAGGGGCTGGGGTGTGGCTCAGTGGTAGAGCACTTGAACAGCATGTGAATGACCTCGGGTTAATACCTACATAACAAAACAACAAGCAAGCAATTGCAACACCCATCAGCTGTTGAACGCATGACTGAGAGACATTCTGAGATGCCCAAGCTTTTCTGTGAAGAGAATTTTGTATGGATTTCTATATTAGTGCTATCCCCTACTCTCTCTCTCTCTCTCTCTCTCTCTCTCTGTGTGTGTGTGTGTGTGTGTTTCCTTCTCTTCCTTTTTTGTCCCCCTTCCGTCTGCTCTTTGTTGGCTTTTTTTGATTCAGGGCCTTGCTCTGTATCCCAGGGTGACTTCACACTTGGAGCAATCCTCCTGCCTCAGCCTCCCAAGTGCTGGGATTAAAGGAGTGAACTGGCAGCTCATTTCTTTCCTTTTAGATCTTTTCTGGTACATGTGGTGTTGCCCTTCAGATAGGTGTAGGCCACGTGAACAAGTGTGATTGATGGAGGGAAGAACCCTGCTCTGCCTTCCGTGGTGGCCTGGCTCACCAGCTAACTGGCCCACATCCAGGCGGCCCCAAAGCAAGGGTCATCTCTGTCTACAATGGCCCAGTGTAGCAGAGCTTAGTGATGCACACTGGTAATCACAACACTCCGGAGACTGGATTAGGGTTAGCAGATCCAATCTAGGATATGCAGTGAGACACCCTGTCAGAAATAACGAATCAAAGGAGGACAGTGCCCGTGAAGTTCACATAGAGTCCTGAGTTCCATTCCTGGGTCTGAGTAAATCAGGCGTGGTGGCTTGCATCTGTAACTCCCACCCAAAGGAGATAGAAACAGGAGCTCACTGTCTTTCTCTACTGTATAATGAGTTTGAGGCCAGCCTGGGCTACAGCGATACCCTATCTCAAACGAAACAGAGAGGACATGTTGCCATCCTTTGGTGAGACTTTGTCAGTTTCAGGACCACTGGGACCAGCCGAGTTCCCGTGTCCTAGTGAAGGCATTATGACTCTATCCCTCTCGTGTTCTGTCCACAGGTGACCAAGGATGGCAGAGAGGATGTGACCGCCATCTACCTTTGTCCGCCCTCCTAGTGGCGCCACCATGCAGAAGCCCAGTGGCCTGAAGCCCCCTGGCCGAGGGGGCAAGCACTCCAGTCCTGTGGGCAGGCCGTCCATCGGATCAGCTTCGTCCTCTGCGGTGGCATCAGCCAGTGGCTCCAAGGAAGGTCTGTGGGGCCAAGAGTGAGAAGGGGGCTGCAGCATGGGGACTTTTCCTGAGGACACAAGAGCAAAGCTGTATCCCACTCAGATAGAGGACATCAGCAACGGGCCAAAATAAGGATTCCACCAAAGTCCATGATGAGCCAGTGCATTTATTGGGGTTACTTACAGCAGTGTGGGTAACTCAGAGATAACTGTGCCACTTACAGGGCTCAGAAATTCATCGTGTAGCTCAGGCTGGAGTACCAGTGTGCTTATGTGGTGCTGGGGTGGAACCCAGGGCTTTGTGCATGGTGGACAAGCTCTCTACCCATTGAGCCACAGCCATAGCTCCAACAGCAAAATTTGAAGCCACAAGGGATCTCTTAGTTTCTTTTGCTGTTGCTGTGATAAAGTACCCTGGCAGGACTTTAGGGAGAGGGTTGGTGTTGTTTCACAGTTCAAGGAGTCCATCATGGTGGGGAAATCTAGGTGATGGGAATTTGAAATCCGTTGGTCACATCTCGCCCATAATCAAGAAACAGAGGTGTGTACATGTCACTGGATTCCCTCACTGCTCAGGGAATAGTCCCAGCCATTATTAAAATGAGTCTTCCTATAGCAGGTAACAGATTGAGGTAATCCCCACAGGCATGCCCAGAGGCATGTCTCCCGGAGATTCTAGAGTCTGTCAAGTTGACAGTTAACATTCACCATATCCTAGACAGTATACTAGAGTTAGGAATAGTTTGGTTGGTTTTTGAGACAAGGTCTCAGTCGTACAGCTCAAGCTGGCCTTGAATTCATGGTCTTACTGCCTCATCCTTCAGTGAAGTGCTGGGATGATGGGTGAGAGCCACCACACCCAGCTGTTGATTTGACCGTCTGTATCTTTGCAGTGGAAATAGTGATTGTTTCTTCCTTTTCTCTTTGATGCGTTAATACTCAGTGAGAAACGTCTCCACACAGCCCCTACTCACTGTACACTCCACTCAGCATTGTAGGCCTCTGGCCATCTCATTGGTTTGTCTCAGAGGTTTGGAGATAACGAGTTAGAAGTGCAATGCAGCGCAGTTCCCCCTCCAAGATGGCAGATTCCCTCATACTCCGTGGGAGGCATTCCAGAGGAAGCTAGGAGGGTGCACACCTTCAATCCCAGTACTCGGCAAGTAGATCTCTGGAGCTAAAACTTTCTCCCCAAGTTGCTTTTTGTCAGTGTATTTTATCACAGAAATAGGCATGTCACTAGGACACTCGATACCGACCTCCATGCGTGCACACCGTGCCCGTGCACATACAATATGAATATGTACATACACAAAGACAACATCTGTGGAAAGGAGTGGGAACTGAGGTTAGGGAGGGATCAGAGATGAAGGGCAAGGGTTCAGGTGTCTTTGTAACATGGGGAGATCTGTACAGGGTGTGGCCTAGGGGACCCCAAGTATATTAGCTCCACTGTGAGCATAGACTGTCCAGGTTGATGGGAGGACCAAGCCAGTGAGCAAATGAACAATCATACAGGTAAAGGATTCGTGCTCACTGCCTGTCATGGAGAGGCCACAGGGCCTCTGACAGTACTCCAGAGTCATTTCTTAGGAGGAGCTTGAGGGTGCTGAGTATTGGTAGGGTTGAAAAACTGCTTTGTTGGGCTAGTGAGCTCAGTCCCTGGACCCATATGGTACAAGAGAGAAATGATCCTGCAAGATGTCTTCCAACGGCTATGGCACACACCCCAACCCCCATCCCGGTGTTTGAACGCAACCGACATCATACATACATACATATAGCAACAAAGAATCCTGGGAGCTGGTAAGATGGCTCAGTGGTTAAGAGCCCTTGTTCTTGCCGCTTTTGCAGAGAACCCAGGCTCGGCTCCTAACATTTACTTGGTGGCTCACAAGCATCTGTAACCCTAGTTCCAGAGGATCTAATGCCATCTTCTGGTCCTGCACTTGCATATACGTGGTGCACGTACTTAATGCAATAGAGCACTCATATACATGAGATAAAAATAAATAAATATTTAAAAGATTAAGTACAAAGAAACAAGATTAGCCACAGTCTCCCAGCAGGCTGAGCTTACTCCAGCAGTGGTGGTTGTATGGGAGTGAGTAGTTTGGGGAAGTGTACCAGCCAGCCTGGCCCTAGGCCAGGACATGACCTTCAGGGAGAAAGGCCCATTGTCTCTTCTGGGTTCTTTCTTCATTGGCTCTCCTCATCAAGTGAGGCCCCAATTTCTTTTTTTCCAAGTGTCTGGGATTTAATCCAGAGCTTCACACATGCCTAGCCAGTGTTCCTCCACTGAGCCACGCTCCCAGCCTCTCACAGGGGTGGGAGGACTTCTAGGCAGGTGCTCCACCACTGAGCCACACCCTGAGTCTCTCACTGGGGGATTCTAGGCAGGTGCTCTACCACTGAGCCACACCCCGAGTCTCTCACTGGGGGATTCTAGGCAGGAGCTCTACCACTGAGCCACACCCCAGCCCCTCATTGGGGGATTCTAGGCAGGTGCTCTACCACTGAACCACACCCCAACTCTCTCACTGAAGGATTTTAGGCAAAGACAGTACCATACTTTGGGGTCAATGCCAAGAGCCTCGGTAACAAGTGCTAGGGAATAAAGTTAGGGAAAACAGTCCCCATTGCTACTGGCCCTTTAAGTTCCCAGATACCCATGGGACTGGCCATCTGCTCTCTAAAGTGGTGGAGGTGCCAGGCATGGTGGTACATATCTATAATCCCAGCACTCAGACTGAAGCATGTGAGATGAGGGCTAGCCTGAGCTAAATAAGAGACCCTGTCTCAAAAAAAAGTAAACAAACATTGTCTGGAAATTTAGCTTAGTTGGTAGGGTATTGACCCAGCATTCACATGGCTCTGGGTTCCATCTCCAGCACAACATAAACCAGATGTGGTGTACATCTGTCACCCAGTCTGTGGGAAATAGGGGAAGGATTAAGAGTTAAAGGTTATGCTCGAGGCTAGCTCAGGACATATGAGAACCTGTGTCAAAACATATATCAGTCAACAACACAAAGCATCGAGGAAACCGGGAATCTGTGGGGGACACCCAAGATGACTTGAGAGAGCCATGCGCGAATTGGCGCCTGCCTTGGGAAGCAAGGCTGTGGCTCCCTCCCAAGGCATGATGTCAGCTTTGGGCAGAGAGGGTCTGGCACGGGAAACAGCCTGGATGAATGCCATGTGCAGCAGAGGAGGTCTGTATTGGTACCCAGAAGCATGACACAGTATGCAGCAGGGTCCCAGGGAGGAGACTTCAAGGGCAGATATCACCCTGGGATGCAAGTATAGGTGGTTTGAAAGGTGAGCAGATATGGAGCTAAGCAGAGGAGTGTGGATAGGAAGGAGCACCCTGGAGGATGTGCTGGGAGGATTTGTCAGTGGGACCCAGGATAATGGTAGCATCTGTCCTGGGTTGTGACCAGGAGAAAAGGGTTTAAGACTCCAGGCACCTACTGGATGTGGCCTCCAACTCTGTTCTACACTGGGAAGGAAGATTCTATTTGGGTTGCATAAGGTAGTCGTTCTCTGGAGTCTCCTTTTAGTCGTGTGTGTGTGTGTGTGTGTGTGTGTGTGTGTGTGTGTGTGTGTGTACACACGAGAATCCAGGTGTGCACAGCGCAACGCAGAGGTCAGAGGACTGCTTGGGTGTTCATGTAACTTCGGTAGTGAGGGTCTCTCTCTCTCTCTCTCTCTCTCTCTCTCGCTTTTGGAGATAGGCACTTACTGTGTAGTCCTAGCTGGCCTAGAACTCACAGGAGACGGGGTCTCTTATCTACCTGTTGACACCAGGTTAGCCCATGAGCTTCCAGGGATTTTCATGCCTCCATTGCTCATGGTGATGTCCAGGCTCTGAGAGTACAGAGGTGCATGACATGTCCAGCTTTACATGGGTCCTGGGGATTTGAACTCAGGCCCTCATACATGCGTAGCAGATGCTTTACCACTGAACCATCTCCCCAGCCTCTGGAGTCTCTTCCTAATGCAATGCCTAAGAAGTCCCTTCTGGCCCTTGGAAGTTTTGCTGGGAATCTGGGACTTGGTATTGCTAAGCAGAGAATATGGGTCACAGACAACCAATGTGCTTCTATTGTTTAGGCAGGTTATGTTTGTCACTCACCTTGTCACATTTGAATAACCCAGTGAGATAGTTCATCCTACCACTGAGCAATACCCCAGCCCCTCAATGGGGCTTTCTGGGCAAGCACTCTATCAGTGAGCTACATCTGAGCTTGTCAAATAGATGTTTGCTTATTTTAGATATGGTTTTCTAGTATTTATTTTATATGTGTTTTATATGTGTGGGCATGCATGCCACAGCAGGTGTGTGGAGGTCAGATGGTAGCCTGTGAGATTTGGTTCTCTCGTTCCACTGTGTAGGTCCCAGGGATTGACCTTAGGTTGTCGAACATGGCGGCAAGTGCGTCTAACTAAGCCCTGAGCCACCTCACTGACCCCCCTCTTGTTTTTTGGATAGTTTCCCTATGTAATCCAGGCTGGCTGTCTTCCTGCTTCACCCTCCTGGGGACCGAGGTATAGGTTTGCTCCTCCACTCCCTCCCTGCCCATCACTTGAGTGCCTCATCTGAGATGTTGTTTGAATCACTGGAGGACCAGGCCTCTCCGTTTCCCTTAACCACTTTCAATCAGCCAAGGTCAAGAACATTCTTCAAGGCTGGCCCCTCCACTCCCTCCCCTGACCACATCCTAAACTTTTTAATGGTGTCAGGATGGGGAAGCCAAGATGAGCTTTTCTGGGGCTGTGTGGCAGGGGGCAGGGCTGCCTTCTAACACTCCTGACGTTCTGTCCACTATCGATCTGGGAGGCGGGGACCAAGGCCAGCGCCTGCCTGCCTGCCTGCCTGCCGGACCCTATGGTCAGTGCCTGAAGCTTCTCCATGGGGAGCTGGCTCTGCTCATTTCAGGGTAAGAAGCCTATCACATCCCCACCCCCACCCAGGTTCCCCAGCTGTTTGCAGGCCCTGAGTAGGAGGGACAGAGGG